TGGCACGTTTTCTTCCCAAAGTCGGGCTGGATGCCAATTACCTTGGGGGGATTGGAGCTTCGCAACAGAACAGGAGACTGCACCCCTGTCAAATTTCAGTCGGTGTTAGGTATGTCTTAACAGTGCCTGGTGTTACACGCGCTCGGGTGGGGGTCAATTTGACCTCCCACGAAGGTTTTTCCTAAATGGTTTCCGAACGGCGCTGCGCAGCCTCGCCAAATTTTGCACAGCTGTAGACAATTGGATGTCGAATTGTTTTGCACCAAAAAGTTTGATGTACCCTGTAAAGTCGCTGATCTTCGGCAGGTCAAAGTCAGGCCAAGGATTCTGAGAAGACGATTTCTATGGAAACGTTTAATCTGTTGCAGCAACGAAGCTTTAGACGAAGCCATGCATCTCTGAGATAGTTGGTAAGACAGCGTAATAATTTAATGAACAAATTTCGTTGACCTGGGGTCAGGTATGAATGTCAAGCCTAGGCTCAAACCAACCTGTTTTATTGCGCTAGAGCTTGCTGTGTGTGGTAGTTTCTGGTGTTCATTTCAAGTGTAGTGATAACGGGACCCGTATGTTAATCTTTCATAGACTTGTTCAAGGTCAGAATAGGTCACTGACTTGAATGACCCTGGTAAACATTTCGCTTTAGGAACATACTGCCTAACGTAATCTTTGACGCTATTTCAAATACAAAACTCGAAATAGTCTTGTGCGATTTTGGTCGCCATGACCTTATAAGATCAAACAAGATCCTTGACCTGAAATGAGCTCCAATGGTCTTTTGCTTAAGACACGTGCCTAGGTTCTGGGGCACTTTGGACAACAGTATAGAGATTGACCTTTTTTGACATTATTTGAACCGAAGGTCATGCCCTAGAAGCGTCAAAATTTGACACAAGCGAGTTCACATACAGGTCAATGCACTTTGATGCCTCTAGCTGTCTTAGTTTCTGAGATCTCAGGGGGTCAAATTAACCCCCACCCGAGCAAAGGGTATCCAACCGGCCACCCGGGCGCATGTTTAACGTGGCCAAGCACACCCACACATGATGAAGGAAGGCGCTCTTATGTTTCTAGAACTGGTACAATTACAAAAAATATGTCAGAGCATGCCAATTTGGGCATACCATTAGTTCCCAGTGGCATAGCTAAGGTATTTCACATTTGGAAAGGGTCTGCTCGGTATGTTAATCTTTCAAAGAGTTCTTTGAGGTATCAAATGCTGCACTTCACCATATTTGCTTGTTTTAGGGTGTTTTGGTCAGGGTGTTCGGGTGTTTTACTATGTTTGTTTGTTTTAGGGTGAACACTGGGGCCTCGGGTTCACTTTTTTTGGTAATGAGTTGGTCACATTTGGTGCGAGGGGGATTTTCCCCTAGGGGTCACAACAGAGGGTAAGTCTTGCCTCGTTCCACTTGCCTTCCAGGTATGATAGGTTAAGTACCCTGTAATTCATCATTGTCTATTCAGATGATCATCACAGTATCTAGTTACGTTCAATCAACATTCAGCTGGAACTTTTTAGAGTTCTCATAAAATAGAATCATGAAATAGTTCCATGGCACTCATAAAATAGTTCCATGGCACAGGAACTCTTTGTAACTCAAAAATTTGCCAATTAACGTCGCTGTTGCCCTTCAACTAGGTAGCCTCTCATACTGTATGAAACTTAATTGCTGTACCTAGAGGCAATGTGGGAATGGAGATATATGTGCGTTGATTTTTCGGCAACATACCTTTATCAAAATGAATAGCAGAAGTCAAAGTCTTCTGCTATTTGTTTCTAAAAGGCATGTTGCCGAAATATCAACGCATCTGGATCTCCATTCTCCGGGCTTTTATACGAGAAATAATCCTATTACTTCCGTCTTATCTCTGTGCATAATGTTTCTTGCAAAGGCACTTAATATCTAACTAACAAAGTTATGGCACAATGCATAATTCAAGAGAGGAGCCCTTGCTAAAACATCTAGTGGTCAGCCACGAGGCACTGGCGGCACATCACCAAAAGCTTGGCGTTCTCGCTTCTCGCTGAGCTCCGCCTCCCCCCCCCCCCCCCGCTACCAAACACGATCGTGCCCTACTTTCCATCATTTCTGACCAGTGTTTACTGTGGGCTTCTCGGTGATATTGTAAGTCACGCATTTCACGAGGCAACAAATGGGAAATCAGGGCACTGGTTTTCAGTGACATAAGTCTTCTAAGCTTTCTGTTCATCGGTGGGTTTTGGAGGTACTAAATTAAATCCGCCATAAGTCTCCATCAGTTATTTGCGTCATACTACATTTCGGGCTCAAGGTTTCTGTATTTTAAGTGAGTGCCCCCCCCCCCCCCCAACGTTGTTGTATGTGCTCCTGTGTTCAGCGGACACAATTTGGGCATAGAGACTGTGCCGATAGGCAGAGTAAAACGACCTATGATTATTCTGGCAAATGTATACGTAACTGGTGACTGTGCGAGTAAAGCCAGTCTGTCATGAGTCATGTGCTGTCTTCGGTTGCAAATAAATGATGACAGACGCTGTCGACTTCCAGGTTCCGGCTCCGTGCATCTTAAATAAGGTCCAACTGGCAGCGGAAACAAAATCATAACTGCTTTAGGTTTTAAATGTGTTTTGGCATTGCCAGGACTCAAATGCTGTAGTTTTTGGTTGTCATGTCGGCTCGTCCTTATCAAATACATAGCCTCGGCTCCGCTGTTCGTTTGCGTTCAAATGGCTTGTGAAAATAGCACTTAGACACCATTTCGTATGCCGTACAATCATCGCAAAGCTATAGCATGTCCAGTAGCGCTGAATATTTTAAGTGGTCACCGTGTCAGTAGGGAAGTACGAGTTTTGCATTGATAAGGAGCTTGAGAGTTCAATATCCGGCACTCAAAGGAACTTTCCACAGTAATTCCCTTCCGATTGCTTTCAACCAAAGCCATCCGTTCTGGAATTAGCTCGGCGGACCCGAAAGCTGTATTAGCTGCGACCATCACAGGATCCCTTGTCCTTTCATGCACCTGTCTTGCCGTCGAATGGCCCGCCGTCGGCGGTAACCCTGACAACTTTGAGATCTTTTGCACTTCTCACGCATAGTTCGATCGCACGGATCCTATTTGATCGGTAATATCAGTTTTCACAAAATCCTCCTGCAAAGCTCAGAAATTGTTCATGCATCAGATGGCCACGGTTTGGGATCGAGAACTGCTCATGCGTCAGATGGCCACGGTTCGGGATCGAGAACTGTTCATGCGTCAGGTGGCCACGGTTCTGAATCGAGATGCCCCGCTGAGGTTAGCGAGTCCCCTTGGTTACACTTAGACGCTCCTTCGTGAGTTGTAAGGAACCGGTTCTGAACAAGTAGGTCCCGTCTATGTTTTAAGGGATCTTTTTCCTGGAACAGGAGGTCCTGTTTTAGGGAAATGGAGACCATTTCCCAGACAACCAGAAGGTCTCCCATTCTACACATTGCATGGATATGACATTGTAGCAATTATACAAGGTGGCACATGCCTTAGGTGCCTTTCCCCTCAAAAACAGCACTGCTCAGGAGGCCCTTGTGCAATGAGGCCCTACTTTGTGCAGGAGGCTCCCTTTAAAATCCTGCTCTTCCCAACTCAAAATCCGTGGTAGCGCTCCCACGTGGAAGCATACTTTCTGTTGCATAGAATGCATTTATTTTTGGGTGATGGAGGGGAAAGCGATTCATATTGGTTGGGGCAGTTTTTCGTGTCTTGTGCAAGACTTACACACAAAGCTTTTTACGCAGCACTCAGTCATCTTGTCAAGTTAAGCACGTATTAGATTCCAAAATGCACATTACACCGTTGCAATGTCCGTTGTTGGTGCGTTCAACACGTTTTCCGCCAACACAACGATCAGAAACAAGAAGACAAATTCCATCTTTGCACTCTCTACTACGTGTGCACTGTTCGTCAAAGTCTCTCCGCACTTCGCATGTGTTATCTTGCATGCAGAATTCGGCCATTTCGCAATCATTGTCTCCAGTGCACTGGATGCCTTTATTGGTCTCCTCTGCATTTTTCACGGCAGTGCCGCTGTCGTTCACAGTCTGCTCCGGATCCTGGCCTTTCCTCGCATGAACCGAGTAAGTCGCAAAACTGTCTGTTGTCACAGGTGAGATCTACCTCTCACTCGACGCACTTGTTGCGGAAACAGATTCCAGTGCGGCAGCTGTCGTGCCTCTTACAGTGCTCTCCCAGGTGGGCCAGGAGAGCATAAGCTCCGTAGTCACACCGCTGCTGGCCCGAGCAATCTTTGTTGACCTGACAGTTGACACAGACGCCTGGCTGGCTGCAGAGACCCGACAAGCACTGTTCGTCCATCGAACATTCCCCCCGGAGATCCTTTCGTGTCTCGCAGGTGCTTCGTCCCCGCTTTGCAGTACTGGTTAGCATCGCAGTCTGCATTCCGCGTACAGAGTACGCATCTGTTTGTCTTGCCGCATTTGTGGCAGCGACATTGGCTGTCCGTGTGACAGCGGCCTCCGAAGAAACCCTTGGGCGTGCAGCTGTTGTAAATGCGGAAGTGGTCCTTCGAGAAGTGCCGGGCGTTAATGCAGCCGACGCAAAATTTGGCGTCCTAGCAAATCTCATACAGGCACTGACTGCCGGTGTAGCATGCTGCTGATGCCATGCGCTTTCCCTGGCAATTGCCATCGCCACAGAACTGACCCCTGTCGCAGTCGTCATTATGTGCGCATTCTGCGCAGCGACCTTTTCTGCTGACTTTCGACCCACTTTGCACGCTGAGCCAGCAAGGCGCGCCGATGGCAGCGGGCTTATGATAGGCGTCGGCCATGCAAAGCTCATGTTGCGGGCAAGGGTGGGTCACAGACCATTCGGTGCAGACACCCCGCAGGCAACGGTCCGAGCTGCACTGCCGGTCATCCTCGCAGATCTCACGGGCTCGGATCCGTTTCAGGCACGCACCCCGTTGACCGCCGAATATAAATCGTCATTTTCTGTCCAGCAAGCCAATCTGTCCTCAAACGCACCCCGCAGGCAGCAGTGCAGCGAGCCGCAGTCAGAGTGGTAGACACAGTCTGCACAGCGGCTGTCGATGCAGTGGCCGGACGTGCAGTCGGAGTCGCTGTAGCAGGGGCCGTCGCGCACTTCCTGCCGCCAGCACTTGTTGCCCGAGCAGCGGTAGCCGTGCGCACAGTCGCTGTCCGAGCGGCACTCGGCGCAGTGGTTCTGTACGCAGACAGCCGAACCGGCACAGTCGTCGTTTAGCGCACACTGCACGCACTGGTGCGCGGCGCACACGAGACACGGACCGCAGTGCGAGTCGCGTGCGCAGGTCACGCACTTCCCGGCCACGCAGTATCCGTTGCCGCAGGCAAGATGGTGGTCACATTCGGCAGCCGGGTCCTTTAGCATTGTATCACACAGCCGGCCCTGGGGAAACGAACAGATCCAAGACGTCCTGCGCCAGATCACGCCTCGGTTTTGACTCAACAGCATCAGTTGCACCCATCAGACCAGCGTTTTGCCGTGGCCGCATGGTTATGCTGTTTCTGCCATGCGTACAGACGGCCTATACTGCGAGAGCATGTATAACATATATACGTAAGAGCATGTATGCGCGAGAGAGTAAAGCTGGACTTAATAGCACTGATCTGCATTCCAGTTACCTTGCACAGTTATAATATCCGGATGGCACCGTGATTGTGGAAGTAGGCACGTATTTCATGCAGGCGTCCCAGCTTCTTGATAGCTGGCTCTGAGCTCCTGTCGGTGACGGCCGCGACCACGCCGGTCTGTCGGTCAGTCAGGCACGCGTGGTGACCGTTCCTGATCTCCAAGAGCCATACACCAAACCGCCGAATATGTATAGTCATTTTCTAGTCCAGTAAACCAATCTGTCCTCAAACGCAGCTTCTCATTTGTGACTGGCATGCCCCGGCTGGTGGCTTGCCATGCCCTGGATGGAGACTGCCGCAGCTAGTAGCTTGCCATGCCCTGGATGGAGACTGCCCGGCTGGTAGCTTGCCATGCCCTGGATGGAGACTGCCGCGGCTGGTAGCTTGCCATGCCCTGTGTGCAGACTGCCCCGGCTGGTAGCTCGCCATGCCCTGGATGGAGATTGCCGCGTCCTGGTCAGCAGACTGGCTCGACGACAGACCGCTTTGAGGGATTTGGCTTGCCATACCTCGCACAGTTTTCCAATGGCACCGCGAAAGTATATTTCTCTGCTTGTTTTGGGTTGCAACGGGGTGAGCGTTGTGTGCAATATTGTTTTGCAAGTTATCGATTCGTCAATAATTGATTCTTTGGGGCTTTGGGACCTTACAAGAAGAATGGAGGTAGTCCAGGAGCTCTATCATGCCTAGCTTTACCTTAATTGCTCTCGCAACATTTTGCAACCTTTTGCAATAATTTCAGATCTTTGAAGGGTTATTGTGTCTTGCGAGAACAGTGACTGTGGCTTTAGGGCGCTACCTGACTTGTTTTGACGACAAAAACGCTCTTGAGAAGGTCTGCATCTTTTTGCAATAATTTTGATCGTTGAATTACTAGACTTTGATGTTTTGCGAAGCCAGTGATAATGTTGTCTGGTTTCTTCGTGGCCATTCTCATTCAATGCTAGTAGAGTCCTCATGTATCCATGCAACCTGGCTGTCTTGCAATAAAACTACAGTTCGTTTTGTACTACACCCCGTGCTCCTTTCAGACCTACATAGAGCTGTGAGGGTGGCCAATTTCTGGTGACACATAGGCATTTCACTGCTCAGGGTGGCGGTCGAAGTTGAGATTAGGGACATGATGATATCAAGAGGGTCTGTGGAATGGTTTTTCTACTGCTACACCAGCCTGACACAACTTGGATTATGATACCCCCTGCCGGGTATCTCGCCTACTCGCCACTAGCAAGTTTTGGGTTTCAATATTAGTTGATTTTAAGGAACTTTTAATCGAATTAAAATCCATCCGTATGTCCCTTATGCTGAACAGGAGCATCAATTCAAATGAATCTCTTAGGCTATACCCAACTTCCATGTTGGGTTGGGTTCAATCAATACTGGTTCCTCGCCCTCTCCCCACCACCCACGTCACGTCTAGCTGGAATATTGCAACAAAAATAAAAATGCATGGGAAGGCTAACACGAAACCTATCTTCTCTAGGCTTTATTTAGTGTCCAATAGTCATGGGTTGCTACTCCCTCCCCCCTAAATATGCATAAATTGACGCTCCTGTCATTACGCCACCACTGGACAAACTATGTTGGTTACACCTTTGTCCTGTTCAAATAATTCATTCAAGAATAGCACGAACAAAAACAGAAATGGAACTACTTGTAATAAAAACAGAACAGATTAAGTATGTTGACAACCACATTTAGAGGACAGGAGGCTATGGGGTCCCTGGACTGCTATCACTCCCTAATCATGCGTGAAAATTGAGACTTCTCGCACCAGGCCACCACCGCACAAGCTATACTGATTTCCACTATCAATGCAGGCTGCATATAAGATGGGCTGTCCGCCTTCACAACCTGTGCTTAATGTATGAGGTGATTATGCTAAGAGTCCCATCAGAGCAATTTTCAATTCGATGTTAGCAAAAACAATAATGAATTTAAATTTACAGCCATGCAATGTCATACAAGGGCAAGGCAACAATGCATGTGAATGAGCATTGCAGGATGGCTGACTTCCAGAGATTTCCTGTTACAGCAGGGGTGCAAATAGCCAACATTGTTCTCAGAGGGAACCAAATGCCCATCTTTCATAACATTATTGTCACAGTTGGACCACAATGTCACAAAAACCCACGCTATTTGAATTAAAACTCTCGGCAAAGGGTAGATGGCAATGGAACCTTTAACCAGGACAACGTAGCCGGGTGGAGCGAAAGTTCATCATATATTGGTTGATAGCAAACGAGTTAGCATATTTTACAGGGCACATATCGAATAGTTCTAGGACACCCCGGCTTCCAGCACACAAACTTGCGATTTTGAATCCAGCAATTTACCGATTGATCTACTGAGACCACCGAATCTAACGTAAAAGTCGGAAAACTCATAACGTACAGTGCACGAAAACTTTGACCCGGTACTCCGTGGGAGTTTGGCTTTTCTGGACGAAAAATGGACAACGGATCGGCTCAAGACAATTACACCATTTTTCGCTTGGTGCCAGGTTCGTAAAAACTGCCATGTTAAATTCGATTCACAGCTCTGTGAAAAGCAGGCCTTTAACATGTGCATCCTATGGGCTAGCATAAAACGCTCACCGCGGAATAGCCTTACTACCAATGTACTTCGTTGGGGCTGGCCTGTGCCCCCCCCCCCCCCCCTGTTATTGCTTACATTTGCTACCCTGCTCTCTCCTCACTTCTCATCGCCCTCCCATTGCCTACATCATTGGCTATCATATACATTTCCAGCAACTAAGATTCATGTAAGCAAAAGGTTAAAAGGTGAATAACTGTTTAAGTGCAAACAAGACACTGATGAAATAATTGCATTTCATGCAAGGGCATAGTTAATAAAGATGGGTTGGGGAGCAGTGAAAATTATACAGTCGGGCCTGTCTCCTAGACTGGCATACTTCTTCACGAACATGTGGGGAGGGCTGGAGTCCAGAACTGAAAAGGGACCTATGTACACCCCAGATTTGAAGGTATTTGTGACTAAAAAAACAACTATACTATACTATACTGTACATTTTTGCCGCCAACCTTATCCACCAAGTCGGCATGTTTTAAAACCCTGGAATATTGCACCATGGGAGATAGGCAAAAGGCATATGAAAGCGACCTTGAAGCGGGTCATATTTCTATGACCGCTGTACCATAGGGTCGAATTAAGATGACCATTCTTGCAATCACGGAATCAGCACCCATGTCGCTTTCGGTGGCAAAGGCGGTAGTTAAGTAATCGTGTAGTTAAGGGTCGTGTAGTTACGGGTCATGTGCCCCAAAACAGCCCGGGCCAAATATCGCTCTGTCTGTTCCCTGTAGATTCTATCGCACTGGTTGCTAGCTGCCTTTCCACGCTATCAATGCAACGCAGTATTCAATTTCTTGAGTTTTCGCGTAGAAGTTGCGTGCATTGCGGGCACTTATCCTGCTGCTATCTAGCCAGCCCACGTTATAACTTGGATTCGAATGCAATACAGTGATAAGAAATTCGGGATGGGATGGTTAAATGGGGAGCACGTTGATCAAACCAAATTATTGAGCCTTAGTGTAAGGTGGATCGGCCATTCCAGCTGAACGATGGAATGGCCGAAATGGAAGGGGGCGACTTTGAAGGAAACAGACATTCTCTCGATGTTGTCACGCTATCGGGGGATAAGCCAGAGACACAATCTTGATACACTTATAACAACCAGGGGGCGCGTGAGGCCAAAGACGACTGTGTATTCAGGGCTCCTATGTCCATGATGTCTGCCGACATCGGTACCTGTGCGAATAAAGGAAGCCGGACTTTGGACCGTCAGAGCAGAGGTGATAGTGTCGAAACACCGGTCTCATTCAGGAGGGAGGGGACACCAATCAGAGCTTTCATTATAAAGGAGTAGCGCCCATAAGACTTAATGGAAGGCGCACCTCACATTCGTTACAGGTCTCTTGTAAAGACGTTTGCGAAAGATGTACCCGGTGAAGACGGTGTAAAATCCAAGCCAGTAAATCGCTGAGTGGTTGGCATTGGGAAAGAAAGATAGGCTTTGCTAAGGGGCAGGACGGTTATGGCGATACTAAAGATGAAGAGCCACTCCGTATCACAGGACAACAACGCATTAGCTGTGCGCTGCTGTCATGATCTTCTCTAGGGGAGCAGTAGGGCAAAATTGCGGGGCCATCAATGTTGAGTAGTTGTGAATAGATGTGGAAGGATAACTGCATTGTGAATGACAGTGAGAATGGGAAGGAATGCATAGAACAGAATGAAAGAGCTCAATTCGTAAGGATCAGTGGAAGGAATGGCAACTCAGCATGGGGGAGGGATGGACTAGCTATGATTGCATTCAAAGTCAGCTAATGTTGAAACCAAAGACAGGCTGGGGACGGTGGGCGGGATGCCGGGCCGCACGTTCGCAGCCCAAGACGTGTCAGGCGGGTGTAGCGTGTGAAGAACCACTCCACGAACTCCTTCAAATATTATTGCGTTCTTAGTCTCAACCTCACCGTCCATCCTGAGCAGAACCTGTAGGTCTCACAAAAAGGACCAGCCTCACATTTGTATAAAGTTCTGAAAGTAGCACGAGGTGCAGTACACTGCTGGGTCCAGTTTTCTGGGTCCAGTTTTCTTTGAAGGACGGCCAGGTTACATGGACATACTTGGACTCTACTAGCAGTGAATGAAAGGGCTTCCGAAATATAATTTTGAAATTGTTGCAAAAGTTTTCAGAACTTTGCAAAATCGGTC